TGTGTGTGTATATATATGTATATATATATATATATGTGTGTATATGTGTATATATATATGTATATATGTATATATATATATATATGTATATATATATATATATATATATATATATATATATATATATATATATATATATATATATATATATATTATAATAAAACATATATATATTTGTTTTTTTTTCTTTTCCCCCACTGAGAGTGTGTGAGACTGTTTCTCTCTCTCTCTGTGTCTTTGAAGGACATACAAAAGGAAAGAAACGTGTGTGCACTCACACATACACTCTCGCACACTCACACACACACAGAGAGAGACACACACAGATATATATATGTATATAATTATTTTTATATATATATATATTTTTATTTATATATTTATATAAAGATATATATACATATATATATATATATATATATATATATATATATATATATATATATATATATATATATATATATATATATATATATATATATATATATGTGTGTGTATATATATATATATATATATATATATATATATATATATATATATATATATATATATATATATATATATATATATATATATATATATATATATATATATATATATATATATATATATATATATATATATATATATATATATATATATATATATATATATATGCACATATATGTACATATATATATAAAGAGATATGGAGATAATAGTAATATATATTTATATTTAGCACTTAAGTATGTAATTAATTTACTAAGTTAATTAAGTTATACTTTATAGATGAATTAAGTATAACAAAAGACATCTTAGCAAATAAATAGATAGTTGAAATAATATTTAAATTTACATGTACTTGGTATAATAGTGCAACCATTTTGTTTTGAATTTTGCAACTTCAAACTTCTAAGATATAGGTGTGTTTTTGTTTCTGTGTGTTATACAAATTATACATCTTATTTTGTTTTATATTTACAAGAAATCGAGGCTCCTTTGCTGCAAAGTTATAAACGAAGATTGAGTGAGAGGCTTCTGAATCATTGAATGGGTGTAGAGAAAGAGAGGAGCTCAATTATGAAGCGTCTATCCACTGAGAGAGAGGCTCGTGACGGAGCGATCAGCTGCTGCCGGGCATAATTCCTGGAGGGCCACTTTTATCAGGAGGCTACGACCGCTTCAATGACTTCAAAGCTACCTGGAAGCTCCCTCGGATGACAGACCGCCAGCGCATCGGCTCTCATTCAAGTGCTCCATTGCCTGTACGATGAAGACTGCCTAGAGTTGATCGAGTCACCTGTTGATATGCGATGGCCAGAGAAGCAGCCATGGCTCCTCAGCCAGCATACCACGACCGCTCTCGTCGTTTTCTGTAGAGAAAAAAATGAAAACACACGTCAGGCCAACTATTTGATCGTGTTCCAGCCAGGCCAGCATTTCTTCGTATCTAATCGCCCTGTAAAGATCAGCGCCGCGCCTGTAGAGAAAGCAGCACAGGAGCTCTCTGGAGCGGTAGCTGAAGCAGAGTCCATTATCTGTGTCCCAAGTTCTTCGGATGCCTGCAAACTTGACAGATGCGTGAGAACAAACCACGTAGATAACTCCGCTCAAAACTCTTACCTTGATGATTGAGAGTGCGATACCAGTCATCGCGAGTGAGGCTTCTGGCAGTCGAGACATGAAATATCGGAAATCTAGCGATACCTGCACACACTCTCGCCATTGAGCCGCTGCGCGAGCGCCAGGCGCGACTTGGCGACGGCAGTCGGGCCGGAGATGACGATCACGTCGCCGCGCTCTCTTCTTGCCTGCGCTGGCGACGCTGCCACAATGGCAATAGAACAGAAGCTTTAGTCAAAAGGCCTTCGCTTAATTAACCAAATTCTAAAGGTTGTATATATAAAGGATGTATTAGGGCTGGATGAACCCTAATTCAGAAAAGGTTTCCAAATGTTGCGCGTCAAGTTTGGGCAGCGATCCAGGTACTTCGACTCTCAGGTGACTTTGCAGCGGTGCACCACCATCGCCGCTGTGCAAGACGAGAACTCGCTACTGCCTCCGCGCTCGAGAGCATTCGAGGGTAAAGGTACCCTGGTGCTTGATTTAGATGAGACTCTGGTTTACATCAAGTGTGAGCGGGGGTGCCCCTTTAATTGCCAGTGTGGTGAGGGCGACGGCTTCTACGTTGCCAAGAGGCCCTGCGTTGACGACTTCTTGCAGTTGATGGCTGCACGTTTCGAGCTGGTTTTGTGGACGGCCTCTCCGCAGGCGTATGCGGAAGCTGCACTGGGACTGCTGGATCCTGAGGGTCGGATTTTCGAGCACAGGCTCTACAGGCAGCACTGTGTAGGGGGGCTCAAGGATATCTCCAGGCTTGGGCGGGAGTTAAACATGGTGGTTGTGGTGGACGATCAAATCTCCAACTTTCCTAGCACGCTTTTGGCTAATGCCATTGCCATCAAGCGGTTTATTAGGGACGGAAGTGATGAGCAGGAGCAGGATATCACACTTCAAAAGCTTGGGCAGTTGCTCACCAAGCTAACGTGTAATTACCCTCGAGACTTTGTAAAAGGCCTTGATGAATTGAGGGAGCAAGGGCTTCTAGATGCGATCAAAGGCATTGGGAGAGCAATTCCGTGGCTGCCTTCGTGGAGAAGGGACCGGCTTCAAAGTGGTGTGCCTCTTGCAGCTAAGACTAATATGCCAGTCTACGTGCCACTTCCTGCTGAGGAGGAATGTAATGAAGGCTGTAGTGTTCACACGCAGCTTTAGTTTGAATCTCTTTAAAAAGTTGATATTTTAATACCCATATCTTTATAGTGATAGACAGTGAGGGAGTTTATTATTAATACAAAAGGTTGCGTGTTTCATTTGTCTTTCATTTGAATGAGTTTGTGTCTAGAATTTTATTAACATTTACTTTTTGATATAAATCTTGCTAAAATAAAATTATGAAGTAAAATATATTTCTTTCACAATAAATCTGATTTCTTTAGTGGTAACGCTAAGCTTAAACATGCAAACTTTAAGCTACATTACTAAGTGCAGCTTTTCTCATTAAAAAACATCCTGTAAGCAAGCATATAAACTTGCATAAAGGGCATACCAAATTAGCACAATATGGTATTTGTTTGTATTATCAAATAAAATTCTAAATATTGCTTATGAACCTCATAAACCTTTAAAGATATTTAGGTTCGTGATAAAATTATAAAAATCTATATACCATCTTTACAAATATACAGTATTCGGAAACGTATTTTTATTTTTGGAGTATTTTTATATTTAGAAATGTTAAGAAAACAAATGGTAAGAAATTTTGGAAAGCTATCTTATGTACCTTTACAACTTCTTAAAGGAATTATTAGGCTATTTTGACGTCAAAATACCTCAGCCGCCCTCCAAACCATTATCAAATTCCACAGAAAACTTTTACCAAAGTAATTCTAGTTTCATTGTGTTTTTGGCAACTTAAAATATTAGTTCTATTACCAAGGAGAAATGTTAACCAAAATGAAAGGGCTTAATTGCAGAAACATAGTATTGATTAATTTAAACCACCCAGTGCCTTTTAACCTTCAATGAAGAAATGCTGATCGACTAGATTTCATTGTTTCACTCTGGCATGTGCAAGAGCTGAAAGCCGGACAAGGGCAACCATGGTGTTTCTCTCTGTTCCTCCCTACGCATTTGGTGGCATCTAAAAGCCTAAACTCTCTCAGAAAAGCCTGGCCCTCACTATAAACCTTGGGTAGCACCATGTTCAAGTCGTGTGGGAGAGTGAAGCCTCCAAGTGTGGCCATGGCATCGGATTATCATTCACGCCCCCTATACAGTGCTGCCTGTGGGCAGAAAATCCACCCTGTGGGATCTTCCCGAAAACCAGCTCAAAATACGCAGACATCAACTGCAACATTGTGACGTGAATGCAGGGCCTCTTTGCAACGTAGAAGCCAATCGACCTCACCAAACTGGCTGTCAAAGGGGCATCTCCGCTCACACTTGATGCAAACCAGAGAGTACCTCTACCCTTGACAGCGAGGAGGCAGCGGCGAATGCCCGTCCTGCACAGCGGAAGAGTTCCAACTTGGCGCGCACATTAGGGTTCCCTATTCGACTTGTACGGACATGACCATGGACGCTCGACATCACCGGGTCCGGGAGAAAGAAGGCAAGTTTTCTACACATTAGTTTCTTCAAAACTAATGTGATTCCTGAACGCAGGACTTCAAGAGGAAGTGGAATCTGCTCCGAAAGTGGCTTGGTTAGAAGGTCCGCCAACTGATACTGTGAAGGAACGTATTCCAGGTGAAGATCTCCGGCTGCTACATGTTTGCGAATGAAGTGATGCTGCACGTCTATATGTTTCGTACGAGCATGAAACACAGAATTCTTTGACATGGCGATTGCACTTTTGCTATCGCAATGCAGAATGGTCGCATCTGATTGCTGTTGATTGAGTTCTCCAAGTAATCAACGAAGCCAGATGATCTCCCTTGCTGCTGTACTAGCAGCTACATACTCTGCTTCTGCATTGGAAAGAGCAACCGTCGTTTGCTTCTTGCTTCCCCATGAAACCAGAGCACCAGCAATTATGCAGCAAATTCCGGAGGTTGAATGTCGTGTATCCAAGTTGCCAGCCCAATCTGCATCGCAGTAAGCTTGAAGAACAAGTTTGGACTGACCTGAGCATTTGTAAACCAGTCCATGAGCAGCCATTCCTTTCAAATACCTCAAAACTCTTTTCGCCATCTGCCAATGATAACAACTCGGAGACTGCATGTATCGGCTGAGGAGACCAACGGCAAAGGAGATGTCGGGACGAGTCATGTTGGCGAGGTAGAGTAGTCCTCCAACAAGTGATCGGTAGACCGAGGGCTGATCAAATAAATCATCCATCTTGCTTGTGAACTTGATGCCAGTGATGACTGGTGTAGCCACGGATTTGCAACTTGTCATGTTGAACTGGTTGAGAAGCTTCTTCACATATTGGCGCTGTGTGAGGGTGATTGTCCTATCTGCTTCATCCCTGTCAACTTCCATCCCTAACAGGTGCCGCACAGCTCCTAAGTCCTTCATCACAAACCTGTCCATAAGCTTGATCTTCACATCCTTCAAAACAGTGTCATTGTTGCTGACAATCAAACAGTCGTCCACATAAACTGCTATCACAACAAAGTGATCACCCTGCTGAAGAAGATATAGATTTCCATCGCTATTCAACCTCTGCATACCGAGATCTATAAGAAAAGAATCCAAACATTCATACCACTGACGGGAAGCCTGCTTAAGGCCATAAAGAGCCTTGCGAAGCTTGCAGACGAGTTCGGAGCACCGTGATCCAAAAAGCTCAAAGCCTGGGGGTTGCCGCATAAATATCTCCTCCTTCAAGTTCCCATTAAGGAAGGCTGTTTTTACGTCCATGTGATGTGCGCACAAACCAAACTCCACTGAAAAAGCCAGAAGCATTCTGATACTTGTCTGCTTCACAATTGGTGAGAACGTCTCATCAAAATCCACTCCAGGAACTTGTGAATATCCTTGAGCAACAAGTCTTGCTTTGTAACGTTGTATCGATCCATCAGGATTTCTGTGAAGCTTGAACACCCAGCGTGATCCAACAACTTCACGTCCTTCAGGAGCTTCCACCAAGTCATAAGTCTGGTTCTCATCAAGAGAATTCAACTCATCTTGCATTGCTGAAATCCACTTATCTACATCAGGAGCTTGAATTGCCTGCCCAAAGTTGACTGGTTCAGAAGCTATTTCTGTTGCTGCGAAAGACCATTGCTTGGGATGAGGTGCTCTAATTGATCGTCCAGATGATGTCCGCCCATAGTTCTCCACATTGAATGGTAGATCACGTGTGAGCCTGTCGACTTCTCCAGTGAGTGCACGATGAGCAACATTGCCCTGTTCTTCAAGAAGAAAAGATCCAGAGACTGGTGTTGGATGATCGTCTGCTAAAGGAGATGAGGGATAGATGATTGTCAGATCATCGTCATCTTCATTATCGTCTTCAACACCATCCCAACTCCATTCTTCCGGAGTCCAGTTCATGTTTTGATCTGAGCTTCCTTCTTCTTGAACACGATCTTTGTAGAGTGTTCCTTCATCAAAACGAACGTCAGTGCTTACAAAAATTTGATGATTACCAGGCTGGTACAGGTGATATGCTTTTGAATTGGAATCGTATCCAACAAGAAAGGCCAGTTTTCTTCTGCTCTCCAACTTGCCGAGATGCTCATCCACCCTTTTTGCAAAGCTTAAACAACCAAAACACCTGAGATGCACCACTGATTGTCTTTGACCAGTCCAAAGCTCTTCTGGGATCTTGTTGGGATTGCGAGAATGAGGGAGAAGGTTTTGAACATGCACAGCTGATCCGACTACTTCAGCCCAGAGGAATTTTGGTAGTCTTGATTCTTGAAGGAAGCACCGAACTGCATTCATGATTGTCCTATTCTTGCGCTCAGAGACTCCATTCTGTTGAGGGGTATGAGAGTAAGAGCGCTGATGAAGAATTCCTCGTTCAGCACAGAACTGCTGAAAGGACTTGTTGACGTATTCCCCTCCTGAATCAGTACGTAAAGAACCAACCCTCTGACCAGTTTTCACTTCGGCTTCTGCTACGAATTGCTTGAATTTGCTGAAGACTTCGTCTTTGTGACGAAGGAAGAATACGTCCGTGTGCCTGGAGAAATCATCTGTAAATGTCACAAAATACTTCGTGCCATTCTGAGCAAACAGTCGCATGGGTCCACAAACATCTGAGTGAATGAGCTGCAAGGGACGAGTGCTTCTGATCACAGCAGGTTTGAAAGTACGACGGGTTTGCTTGCCAAGAATGCAAGTGTGACATTTTGCTGAACTTTGAAGAATGTGGTCGTTGAAGCCATCCACAAGCTCTTGCTTCTGCATACGCCTGATGAGAGGGGGATTGGCATGTGCAAGTCGAGAATGCCAGAGAGAACTATCTGCAATCATGCATATCTCAGGAGCGTTCGATTTTTCTCCAAAAGCTATCTCCTTCTCAAACAGGTTACCACATCTGGGAAAATGCAGTAATGGACAACCATTTGCAAGAACTTGACATTGATGTTTGGAGAAATTCACATCCAGACCTTCATCCGTAAGCCTGGCTACAGAAACCAGATTCTTCACTATCTTTGGAACATACCACGCATTCTTCAAGAGCAGAGACTTTCTTCCCAGTGGAACTCGCACATCCCCAGTTGCGCGAACAGGTAAAATGCTTCCATCTCCCACACGAATGCACTTCCCTTTTGCAGCACGCAATTGCACAAAGTTTGACTTGCTTTGCATCAGGTGTCTCTCTGAACCTGAATCGATGGTCAGTTTTTCAGAAACATTTGGAACTGCTACCTCAGATGATGCCGCAAGTTCCTGTGTTTCCCCTTCCTGAGCATTTGCTGCGAGCCCTATGTTCATGCACTGCAGCCAAGCTGCAACTGGGCAATCCTTGGAGTAGTGTCCTGGCATCCCACAGGTCCAGCATTCCTGTTTGTTCTTGCCCACAAAACAATCCCGAACTGCTGCTTCTTTACCAGAATTCCCTGAATTCTGCTGCTGCTGTGGATTTCCCCTAAACCCGCGACCTCTGCCTCGTCCTCCTCTTCCGCGGCCTCCTCTGCCTCGATGATTTCCAGCCCATAGAGCTGAATCAGTCCCTGACTGATTGATTGATGCAGAAACATTTGATGTAGACTGTGAGATCAAAACATGGGAAGGCCTCTGATCAAAGTCCACAATCAAACCTCTCGCAGCAAGCTCCGAGCGTAAAGTTTGCTCAGCTTGTTCAAAGTTGAGCGACATCATGCGAACGGTAGGGACAAAAGAACTAAAAGAAGAATCTTGCATGGCCTCGCAAAGTGCCAGAACTTTCTTGCTTTCGTTGAACGCCGCTGGACTGCCTTCAAGCTCCATCCACAGATCTTGCATCTTGGCGAGGAACTCTTCAAAGTTCTCGCCTGGATGAAAACGGGTCTCACGAATGCAAGTCTCGACCATGCTGATCTTGGAGAGGGAAAGAACAGCATACTTGTTGTGGAGATGAGCCCAGATCTCACAAGCACTCTTATGACGCAAACGCATCATAAGGGCATCTGCAAGCTTAGAAAGAATCAATCCTTTTGCTCGAGATTCCTTCCTCTCCAGTGCAGCTTGTTCCCCTGGATCAAGCTGTTGTCGAGCTGCTGCAACAGAGGCACAAATTGCCTCTTCATCCACGACTTCTCCTTCCACTGAAGTTGAAGCTCCCAACGCAGCAGGGGCTCGCCGTGTACGAGCATCTGCAGCGATTGTCGGTGGTGAAACGATTTCCCAGAGTTCTTCCATCTGCAGCACGCGCATCATTTTCTCGGACCAGGTGTTGAACGCTCTCCTCCCATCAAAGGCAGTGACTCCCTGAAGCAAGATCAATCCAACTTTGCTGCAGCTCATGATGTGAGGCACAAAAGAGAAGAAAGAGTTCAGAAATTGAGCTCCGATACCAAGAAAGAAAAGCGGAGCAAGAACAACGGATTTCACTTCAACACGCTTTCATTCATATATGGCTGTATATATATACAACTTCAAGCAAATCAGAAATCACCAGAGATCTGATCACGATTCGGACTGCTTCTGATATGAATCGTCTTGCTTGTCGTGTTCATCATTATTCCTACACACTGGGTCCGGGAGAAAGAAGGCAAGTTTTCTACACATTAGTTTCTTCAAAACTAATGTGATTCCTGAACGCAGGACTTCAAGAGGAAGTGGAATCTGATCTTTTATGGAGTTCCTGCTTGATTGGAGCTGGAGGATTCGGGCAGGTCTTCAAGCTTTCCTCAAGCAATCTCGCAGTCAAGGTGGCAATCCGGCAGCAGAACGAACTCACACAGGAGTTCAGCACTCACCGGCGAGTTTTCCTGTCGTGGATGAATCCCACGGACTCATCAGCGAGGAGGCAGAAGCACGAGATCGAAATTCTCCGCCCCCTCCAGTTCTTCGACGCGCTTGAGTGCTTCCAGCCGCCGCAGCCTGGCTATGTGATGGAATTGTTGCTTCCGCCGCCAGGGGAAAAGACCACAGCCAGGCTTCTGCTCGGAGTGGAGGGAAAAGCGTGGCCAGGGTCAGATATCAACATGATTACAGCGGGCACAATTGATCTGGAGCGAGGGAGGATGTATGCTTGGAGTATGGGGAGGTTCTATGCGCATCTCCACCACGTCCTCAACCTCGACGGCAGGGACCTCGAGTTCCACCTGGGGGTGCACTCGTCACTGCAAGATGGAAGCGTTCAGCCCAGATTGGTTTGCATCGACTTTGGCCAAGTCAGACGTTTTAACGAGCGCGCCCTCAGCCTCATGGCAGCAGCGATGCGCAACAGACTGCCATACATTCCAGCTGCAGGGAGTCCACTCTGGACCATTTTCAGAGAAGGCTACCTGGCAGAGACTCCACCTGCAAGACAGGAAATCGCGGTGGAATTGCTGGCCAAGGTTCACCCACAGGCTTCACAGGCAGCAACCAAGTACACACCACCTCAGTCCAGGTGATAGATCAAGCTTACAGCTTGTGGTATTTGGTCTTTCCTCAACTCTGTTTGAGTAGTAAGTTATTAATATTAACAAAGATTAAAATTAAAAGCTTTTATATAAACATCGCTCCTCGATGGAAATGGTTCCATCGATTCGGCCAAACTCACCACTCTTGTAGACGCCTTTGCAGATGTAGATATTGTCGGGCTTCACGTCCAGGTGAGCGAGGTGCTTCAAAGCGTTTACGAGCTGCCATGCAGTCGTGAGTGATGTACCCGCTTGAAACATTGCCTCGGTCGGCGTCTTCTCCATGCAAGGCGTAGATACACGAAGTCATTCTCGAACCATGAAGACAAGTAGCGCACTGCATTTTCAAAGTTTTAAGGAAGCCAAAGAAAAAAAGCCAGCTAGACCCGAGACTGCAGCGCCAAAACTCTGCCAAATCAATACCATAGTCTCTTCATACAGCTCTCCCTCATTCAATAGGCTACACCGATTGGACATAAAGACAGCCGTCGTGTCTTTGGAGAACTTTGTAAACATAGCTGAAATCGCCTCGTCCTATTTCAGTGGAGTAAGAATGAAGATCTTACAAATTCCACGCACCACCAACCTTGATTCGATGGAACTCCCCATGGTAAACGCGATGAAGGGCCACACACGTCGCGTGAATGAGAGACAACAACGTACCCTGACCCATTCCAGAGTTGGAGGGATGCGAGCGCTCGAAGATCCTACACGCACACGACGGAACAGACTCGGTGTTTTTAGCCAAGGTCGTGGCTGTTGCTTGCTTGTTCTTGGCGACGCAAGACTTTAAAAGCCAGAGCTCCTTCCTGGCTATCGCTTCGGGCGAGAGGCGACTCGATCTTTACAGGAAATCGAGGCTCCTTTGCTGCAAAGTTATAAACGAAGATTGAGTGAGAGGCTTCTGAATCATTGAATGGGTGTAGAGAAAGAGAGGAGCTCAATTATGAAGCGTCTATCCACCGAGAGAGAGGCTCGTGACGGAGCGATCAGCTGCTGCCGGGCATAATTCCTGGAGGGCCACTTTTATCAGGAGGCTACGACCGCTTCAATGACTTCAAAGCTACCTGGAAGCTCCCTCGGATGACAGACCGCCAGCGCATCGGCTCTCATTCAAGTGCTCCATTGCCTGTACGATGAAGACTGCCTAGAGTTGATCGAGTCACCTGTTGATATGCGATGGCCAGAGAAGCAGCCATGGCTCCTCAGCCAGCATACCACGACCGCTCTCGTCGTTTTCTGTAGAGAAAAAAATGAAAACACACGTCAGGCCAACTATTTGATCGTGTTCCAGCCAGGCCAGCATTTCTTCGTATCTAATCGCCCTGTAAAGATCAGCGCCGCGAATAAAATTTAATTAATAATATAACAATTAAATTTTTTTTATTGTAGTACAGAATTTTAACTATCTTGTTCAAATGATGACAAAATTATATATATTACTCATTACATGACAAATATAAGGTAAAATATCCACCACCATATTTGATTTCCTTAAATATGCTTAATAAAAAACTTTTCAAATTTGAGATTTTTGTAACTATAAAAATTATACCTTGATAATGCCTATCAAATCCTAAGAAAAGAAAAAGGAATTAGAAGGTTAATGCCAAATTTAATAAACCAAAAGGCAAATATATATGTCTCAACATGCAATAGACATGGAATGGGTTTTTAATCTGAAAGACTTTATAGTGATATTGATGTGATGTTAAAAAGTTATTTTTCCAATGTTTAAAAAAATTTCAAGATATGCAAAACATTTTTCCTTCTGAAATTCTGACTATTTATGTGTTATAATTTTGGATTGACAATCAAGCACAAGCATCTGCCTGAGATTGTATGAGCACATCTAAGATTATGGAAATATATAGAAAGGAAATAAGAAGCACTTCTCCATTTAAATTAGCAGATTATGTATAATTAGTCTTTATTCACTATCAGAAGTTAATCAATAAAAAATTATTCCTCCCGGGCCTCATGTATAAAATGCGAAGGGTTCCCAGCCATGGCGAGATTTTCAGCAAAAATGAGAACACAATAATAGTGGGTCGATGAATTGGAGAATTTCGATCTAGGACTTCTGCCTCTTTGCTAATGAGACTGGGATTCAGGAAAGTGCTGAACTTCTCTGTGAGTTCGTTCTGCTGCCGAATTGCCACCTTTGCTGCCAGATTGCTCAAGAAAAGCTTGAAAACCTGCCGGAAACCTCCATCTCCAATCAAGCAGGAATTCTGCAACAGATCAAATTCCACTTCCTCTTTACCTGACCTTAGTTGTGTTCCGTAAAAGTCTAATATTCTGCTGAGAACCGTGCAAGACGAGCATTCGCTGCTGCCTCCTTGCTGGAGGGCATTGAGGGTAGAGGTACCCTCTGGTTTGCATCAAGTGTGAGTGGAGATGCTCCTTTAACTGCCACTCCGATTGGCTTCTACGTTGCAAAGAGGCTTTGAACTGGTTTTGGGGAGCAGACTGCTAGATCCCACGTGGATTTCGGTGCACAGGCAGAACTGTATAAGGGGCGTGAAGGTTTTTCCTATGATAATCCGGTGGCTGAAACAAGATTTTTTAGGAGAACGGACAGGAACAACAAGAAGTATTCAAGATGATATAAAATATTAGGATCGGATTTTTTACGGAGTCAAAGGGCTTGACTCAGTCATATAGAGTTCGTCATCATCACTGCCAATCAGGTGATTAATCTTGTAGAACCCTATCCAGATCGAAGCTCACAGATCGCGCTTGCCGAAAAAATTCCTCCACGAAAATCTCTTCAGTTCTTCCTCTCAAAGAGCCTTTGATGAGGACTTCTTGAAGAGCGCGTTCTTGAGAGCTTGAGCAGCCGAGGGGCGATTTTTTGCTGCTGGATGCATCAGAGACTTGATCAAGCTCTGGAACACAAGAGAGAATCCGGGAAGAAGAGCGAGCTTTCCCTGGCGGATGGCTTGATACTGGCTTCCGGACGCTGGTAGTGGCGAGCGTCTTGCGAGCTCGTAGAAAGTCGCCCCCAGGGAAAACATGTCGGCTTTGTCGAGGTGACTGTGATCATCGTTGATGAGCTCCATCGGGAGATATCTCGAGTCCCCATCCTCAATGGAAATGGCTCCATCGATTCGACAAGCAAGGCCAAAGTCGCCAATCTTGTAGACGCCTTTGCGAATGTAGATGTTGTCAGGCTTCACGTCCAGGTGAGCAAGGCCATGCGAGTGTAAGTGCTTCAAAGCGTTTAAGAGCTGCCATGCAAGACAAACTAAGAAAACAATACAATTGAGCTGCTTACTTGGAACATCGCCTCGGTCAGCTTCTTCTCCGTAAATGTCCATGCAAGGCTCTCGTCTCGTAGATTCGTCTCGCACAGCTCCATTTGGATATACAGAAAGTCATTCTCGAACCATGAAGAGAAGTAACGCACTACGTTTTCATGGTAACCTGGAAGCTGGTTAAGTTTAAAGAAGCCAGTGGCAATATTGAAAGGAAAAAGCCAACTCACCAAGACACGAGAGTGCCTGAACTTCTCTCAGTGCTTTCCTCCTGCAAAATGAAAAATTTGCCAAATCAATACCATAGTCTCTTGATTTAGTGACGAACCGATCTCCCTCATTCAGCAGCCGCCGATTGGAATGCTTTACAGCATAAAGGCAGCCGTCAAGTCTTTTGAGAACTTTATAAACATAGCTGAAATCACCTCGTCCTATTTCCTGACAGTGGTGTAAGAATGTAAATCATACAAATTTAAGCACATATACCTTGATTTGATGGAACTCCTCACGGTAACGCGATGAAGAACCAAAAGCAGAGACACATCCTGTATGAGAATAAAAGTTATGAAGGAAAAATGCAAAAATAACAAAAATAACATACCCTGCCTAGCTCTCTCGGGAAACACATCACTGTTAACAAAAGGGTTCCGGAAGCATGGTGGGGACATGACGCGCTGTCGCAGAGACAATGTCTTTGCATTCTCTGCTTCTTGGTTCAAATATTCATCTAGGAAAAGAACATACAAAGAAGAACAAAAAAAAACTGAGCGAGTGTGTAAGATTGTCAAAGCAAAGCTACACATACCACTTCTTGGTCTTTTGCTCCGTAGAGGCGTCAGACCCACAGGCACATTGAGCACAGCATTCTAGTGGAAAAAAAAAACAAAAAAACGATTTCTTTTCTTATTTCCCTTCCTTCCAATCATTCACGAACCTTGTCTGAAGCATTGAAATCCACAGTGAACTGCTGCTCCACGGGCGTCACATAATCGGCAGTGCTGTGAGAAGGGAGAAAAACAAGAACGCCTAATCGCATCATTGGAAAAGGAATGCATACCATAAAAAGTCCTGGCTGCAGATCATATCGTCTGACTGGAGATCCTGCGCCGCGGCCGGAGCCTCGCTCTCCATCTCCATTGCTTAAACCCTAGAGCGGCATTCTCTGGCCGCTATACCCTATTCCTCTTTTAAAAAACTGGGGGGAATTTCAAAACAAGGAAAATATTTACTTTTACTGTCATAAATTATTCTTATTCTTGTTCTTATTATTATTATTCTTATTAATATCATGAAAGAATAGGGTTTTTAAGTCTTTGTGGTTTTGTATTGTAATCTTGGATGTCACGGAGCGTGTCCAGCATTCTCAAAACTGGAAATGCGTTGTTTTAGATTTGATGGTGCTTCCTTCAACTTTTGAAGCAAGAGGCCTTCTCATTCGTGATAGTTACAAAAGTCTAATTACAATCATACTCCTCCCCTGAGCTGCTCGTCCTTGCTAGTTAGAGGAACATACCTCACGCTCGACGCGGTCCACTGCTTGAGCGATCCATCGGGCCCCTTGTCGATCACCACCAGCTCTTGCGCTCCCTCCCCAACCGGTATCACCATCCGGCCGCCTGGTTTGAGCTGATCGATCAGTGGCTGAGGCACTTGCGGAGCCGCGGCTCCAACGTGAATGGCGTTGTATGGCGCGTGCTCGGGCCAGCCAAGTCGACCATCTGTAAGAAGAGATTCGTCTCATAGCTTGGGTCATGGATTCTTTACCTCCAACGTGCAGAGAAAGAACGCCGGGCTCCAGCAGTGAAGCCGCCGGGGATCGCCTAACGTTTTTGATCGACTGCTCGACGAGCTCCGGAATGTGTTCCACTCCTGCAGCGCGACCTTGATCGCCCACCAGAAGAGCGAAAGCAGCGGTCAAGTAACCAGTTCCTGATAGAAAATTTTTCAGAGGATGCAAACCAAGAAGAAAAAACGAGAGAAATTTCTTTCATACCGGAGCCAACGTCGAGAGCGTGCATTCCCGGCTGGAGATGCTTGTTGAGAAGCTCCAGGCACGAGCCATGCATGTGTGGAGCCGAGATGGTGGCATTGAATCCAATCTGCATTGGACAGTCCATGTACGCCAGATTCCTCTCGCCCTCGGCGATGAACAAGGCGCGATCCAGCTTCCCCATGACGCTGGCGACCCTGTCGGATTTCACCGCGCCCTCCTCCCGGAGGAGCTTGACGAGCGATTTGTTGTCCTTGGCTCGCGGCGTCCAGAAAACCTGTGGAAGATTGGGCAGAGAAGAGAGAGGAGCAGGAGAAATTTCACCTCCATCCCGTGGAAGAAGTAAACCCTAGGAGCCGCGCGATTGCGAGTGTGGCAAGCGATCGATCCAGCTCCAAATGCCGACGCGCCTCGCAGAGCTCCTCCGGCAATCGCGGCACACATGGATAGGGCAACGCTTATAGAAACACTCTCTCCGACGTGGACACTCTAATATAAATAGTAAGTAGTCGCAAACACGTGTCATGCGACTATGCTTGACACGTGTCCAACAAACTTGTGAGGGAGCTCGACGTCGAGTGTCTTGAGAAGCTCGACGTCTATGGTCTGTCCAAGGCCCGTCTCACGGTGTCGAGCGCCAGCCTCAAAAGATTCACCTTGTGGCGGACCTCGTACGAAATTTTCCTCGATACTACCTTCGAGGTTGGCAGCTTCAAACCCAGTTTCCAATCGGAGAGCCTAGAAGTCCTGAAGATGTCCGCTCACTGCAAGCTCAACAGGAAATTTGACAAGCTCCGGAGCCTTGAGAATCGGAGGATGCTGGGAGCTGGATGAATTGGTGAGGCTCTTCGAGCTCATGCCCACAATCACAGAGATTACCTTCATGAATCTGGAAAGCAAGCACAAGATGGGCATTTCCCTTCTACTAGAGCCCCTTGTTCACAAGAAGAAGAAGCGTCCATTTCGACGCCAGCTCGTTACAGGCACCCGTTATGGTTTTCTATTTTTCTATCCTTTAATCTTCTTCTTGTAGGGCCAAGGCAATCCACAGGCACTTGATTTCCACCTTTGGTTGAATGTTTCTGACGACCTTGATGCTATGACCTCCCATCTCTTTCTTGGGGGCCTTGTTCAGATACCAAGGAGCCCGTAAGCTTGTGCCACGAGCATACGAACACGATGTCGCGGACGGAAGTCATTCCTGAAAAGTGGCAAAGCGTTTGTTTCGAATTGATGGAGTTCTATCCAGGCTGCATCTCCTTCGCAGATCAAACTCCAAAACTTTTGCACAGCAAGAGGCCTTCTCATTTGTAATCCAGTGGCTACTAACACATCCTTGCTAGTTAGAAGAACATACCTCACGCTCGAAGCTGACCAGCTCTTGCGCTCCCTCAAGTAACCAGTTCCTGGAAGGAGAAGGTCTTTAGAGAGAACGGGACATAAATTTCTTTCGTACCGAACTAGTGGCATGCCACAACGTGTCAGCCTAAAGAATTTGGCAAACTCGCTTGGCGATTTCCATACACGCGGTCAGGCCCGGCGACTCAATCCCGAATAGATGGACGAGGCCTGGAATGCCATGATCCTTCTTTCCCTGTGAAATAAATAGATCCAACGTGAAACCAAAAACGAAACTTTGATTCACTCACTTGGATCATGAAGTCGGAGCAGCCACTTCCTCCCTGGCCAGGCCCACAGAGCTTGGAACGCACTCCGGAGTAATCTGGAACCAAGCTTTCATCCGGAAGTCCTGGGAAGTATTTCCGAATCTCTGGGTAGAAGCTGCGAGCTCTCGCTGGATCCACACTGTAGTCAAACCTGTGGAACAAAGTTATGAACGAACGATAACAAGTGGTCACTTACTCGGTTGTCACGCTTGTCGTCGAAAGTTTTAGCCACTGAACGTCCGGTCCAAATCTTGTGGCACCTCCAAGGTCGATAGTCAAGTGTACTCCGAGACCTCCTTCCTCGGGAACCGGGTAGATCAAGCGCGAGAACGGTGCCTTGGAGGACGAAATGGCGAAGTAGTTCCCTTTGGCAAAGTAGTTCTCGGGAATGCTACTGCTGCTCAAGCCTTCAATGTTTCGAGCGATGGCTGTTGCGTGCAAGCCGGCGGAGTTGATCACATAGCTTGCGGAGAGTACCATCTCAGCTGTGCTTACGAGCTCGTCAACCGATTTGTTTGCAGCGCTGCTTGTCTCGTGGACGACGATGTCCAGTCCTCCGTCGGATCGAACTGTGCCACCGAGAACAGTGCTGTTGAGCGCGAGTGCTACGCCTTTCTCCTCGGCATCTGCCTGCTCAAGGGAAAAATCGGTTTAGTCGCATCCACAAAGCAAAAACAAAACGAAGAACATAGAAGAGAAGAAAAAAAAGAAAGGATTGAGAAAGAAAAACCAGAGTTCACGCATAAGATTCTCTAGAAAGCTATGGACAACCAAAGAAGTTTCGAAGCATGAAGAGACAAAGGCTTGAGAAAGGAAAACTAAAGTTCACGAATAAGATCACTAAAAAGCTCTGGACAACCAACGAAGTTACGAAGCATGAATAGATCACGTAGAACTAAAGAAGAACAAGAGAAGCGAGAAGAAAAAATGGAGTAAGAACATACCTGGAGTGAGAGCATTAAAGAGTGACTATCAACAATTCCCGTGGATGGCGACCACAGCGCTTTCACGCAATTCAGCTCGGGCTCCATCGCCATCGCCTCAGCAGCTGTGATCATCCGCAAATCCTCGGCGCCATTTGCAACACCAGTCTCTTGCAATCGAAGTAGCGTCTTCGCCTGCTGGAGCGAAGTGGCCACGATCAACTTCCCCAATCTTTTGAAAGGAATGGATCGCTCCTGGCAGTAGGAATACATCGCCTTGTTCCCTAGAACGCACAGAGCGGCCTGCCTGACAGTGGCACAGAGCGAGAGATTCGCGGAGCTGGAATTTCAAGCGACAAATCGAGCAAACCTTGAGCGATCGAACGGGATAGTAGATCCCGGCATGGATTACTTGACTGTTCCTGGAGCTGGTGCCTGTCCCTACTGCGGATCCAGCTTCCACAACCACGACATTCTTCCCTGCGATGGCGAGCTGCCTCGCGATCGCCATCCCGACGATGCCCGCGCCGATCACGACGCATTCCACCGCCTCCCTGGGAGCCCGGATCGAACCCCATCGTCGCATTTAGGGTTCTAGACTTTCCTCTCTTGGAGGAAATTTTAGGGTTCTTTATGGCTGAGGGGGGAGAGCGCTTCAACGTGCGCAATCCGGCCGTGAAGCGCATCTTGCAGGAGGTGAAGGAGCTCCAGAACAATCCCAACGATGACTACGTGAGCATGCCGCTGGAGGTGAGCGATCGACTTCTTCTTCCAGATTTCCTTCTTGATTTCTTCTCGATCTGTCGCAGGACAACATTTTTGAGTGGCAATTCGCGATCCGGGGTCCGAAAGAGACCGAATTCGAGGGCGGAATTTACCATGGCAGGATCCAGCTCCCTCCAGAGTATCCGCTCAAGCCGCCAGAGTTCGTGCTTTTGACGGTGAGTGGCTACTTGTGACGATTGTTTTGGCGATAATCTCTCGATGTCTCTCTCGCTCAGCCCAATGGAAGATTTGAGACCAAAACAAAGATTTGCTTGAGCATATCAGCGCATCATCCAGAGTTTTGGCAGCCTTCTTGGAGTGGTGAGTGAAGCTTTTTCCAGTTCTTTACTTTGCCTTCGATTCGATCGCGTGAGAAGGACTGACGCTTTTCTTTTCTTTTTCTTCGTGTAGTTCGCACTGCTCTGGTAGCTCTCATCGCCTTTATGCCGACAAAGCCAGAAGGAGCTATCGGATCCCTCGACTACACCAAGGAAGAAAGGAGGGCTCTCGCGATCAAGTCCCGCGATGCCGCTCCAAGAGTTAGCACTCCCGAGCGCCAGAAGCTGATCGACGAGGCAAGCATTTATTTATTTTCATCGCCCTCGAAGCGATCAAATCGCCATAACTTCCATGGTTTTCCAGATCCATGTCGAGATGATGAAGAGAGCGCATCCCGTGCCAGACACGAAAGAACCACCGCCGGAAGACGCTGCCAAAGAGGTAGAAAATAATGGTGTAGAAGTGGAAACTACTCCATCTCCAGCTTCTCGAGATTTAGCTCCGGCTCCAGCTCTAGATCCAGCTCCAGCTCTAGCTCCAGTTCTAGCTCCAGCGCCAGCTCTTATAGCTCCAGCTCCAGCAACGATCGACGCTGTGAATCCACCAGCAGCAGCAGCAGCAGTAGCGGCGATTCCCGCGGCTGGAATTCGAGCGAGGAGATCGGAAGAGCAAGCGGTACAGCAGTCTAGCGATTTCGGCTTGACGGCATTGGCGATTGGGCTGGCGATAGCCATCGTTGGCATCCTCGTGAGGAAGGCCCTCCGGCACTACGGCTATGTGATATAAACGCGACGCAAAATAAAGAACTAGGGTTTAAGAAAGCCCTAGGAGGCGGGCCAAGGAATCTCTTCTTCTCTCTTCCGCCATGGTTCTCACTTCGCGCTCGTCGCGTCGCGTTCTTCTCACCAGCGCTCGCGTGTGCTCGTGCAGGAGACGTTGCTTGTATTCAAGGCGGGCAAAATGCTGATGGAGGGAGTCCAGGTCCGCGCGGATCCAAGGAAGGGGTTGTTTTGCATCGTCAGGGTAAAGATTTGATGAAATTTCGGTGGATTCTCAGCTCGCGCAATCGAAATTTTCAGGACGAGGCCGGGCTTGTGCACGTCCAGTGGCAGGATCGCGTGTCGGGAGCTGTGGAGGACGTAAGCATAGCTCTGTGATTTGGATTTTCTCTCTTTTCTCTCTTCTTTGTGTCTGACATGGACAATGCAATAGGATCAAATCGTCTTCTCGGATGAAGCAATCTTTGAGAAGGTAAGAACTTGATTTTTTATTTTCCTTCACGAGTCTCGATCGTTTAGGTGGTCTTATTAGGCAGTGTGATTTCTATGGTGTAGGTCCAGCAATCCAATGGCCGAGTTTACATCCTAAAGTTCAAGACTGATGATAGAAAGATGTTCTTCTGGCTCCAGGTAGATAGAACTGCTTCTAGATTTTCTTCTACAGCTGTTAAAGCTCTCGTGTCGCATTTTTCTTCCATCCAGGAGCCAAATCCTGCGGGTGACGAGAGGCTGTGCGACGCCGTGAACATCCAAATCAATCAGCCGGGTATGTCGTTTCCTTTGACAATGACTGCATTGAAGTTCTTTCCTAGTAGTGGAGGATGCGTCGGTGGAGGAAAGTATCGAGCGTGACATTGTCAAGTAAGTCCTGAGATTCTGTGTTTGCTCTTTCACGTCTGATGATGGTTGTGCCAGCACTGCTGACGATACTGGGAAAGCCACCCCGTCCGGAGGAGGAGCGGTCGAGAACATCAGAAATCCTCCCGTGCAGCTCGCCGAGCTACAACAGATACTGGCAAACCTCGGCCAGAGCCTGAATGGCCACGGTAGAGCAAAACTTAATTCTCTGCTATACTCATGGAGATTTTTCTTTTTCCTTCTTGTAGGGGGGACATCAAGAGCATTCCAAGATCCAGGTGAGTTTTCCTTTCCTATAAACAAATACATGGTTTCGTTCATTCTCTCTTCTGCAGGGCCTAGTCTGACGGACGTTCTTAAACCGGATCATGTGCTCCCGCTGCTTGAAAACTCCCACCAATGGGAGGAGAGACTGTCTCAGTATCTTCCCGAGGTAATGCGATACTTTTGCTGGTCCTTGGTCCCCACGACTGAAGCAACTTGCATCTATCCAAGCAGGGTAAATGGACACCCGAGGCCATCGCGGATTTAATGCAGAGCCCACAGTTTCGTCAGCAGCTCGACATGTTCACTCATGTAAGTAAAAACTTTTTGAACTTCTTTTGCTTGTTTCTCACCAACTTGACAATGATCCAGGCTCTCAGGTCGGGTCAAATGGATTTGCAACAGTTTGGCATTGATCCGAGTCAGTGTGAGTGTGGATTCACTTTCTTACTGTTTGTAGATCTTGAGAAACAAATTTTATTGCTTTTCAACAGGTGACTTCACTGTAGCATCGTTTCTAGAAGCGATACAAAACCAGGTGGAAGCTGGGGACCATTCGCAGCGCGACGTGGATGACATGGACGAGTGAGTGATTTGTCACTCTCCGATCCCTCTAGTAGTAATTGAGAAACTGGATTTTGCTGGAGGAAGAGATGGGGACTTGAACATACAAGCCTGGCGTTTTCCTCCCTCCCAGCGTAAGATCACGCGGTTTGTACAAGCATGAGACCAGCTTTCACCTTTAAGAAAGAAAAGAAGGAACTATCAATCTCAAATAACGAGACCTTTTGAATCGATGAATGAAAATCTAGCTCACCTAAAGCAGGCCTGATTTCTCCATTGCCTTTGGTTGTCACTTGGTTCACGAGAACTACCTGTGATTCGTATCGCAAAACTTGTCAAAGACTAGAAAGTATTGCCATACCGCGAGTTCATGATGGTGAGCCAATGCCATGAGCTTCTGAGCCATGCTGTTGAGCAGCCGGGCCCGGAGAGCCAGATCGTGGAAGTCTTGGCGGAAGTGAAATGTGACACTGTCGATGACAAGGAGTTTCACCTAGAAATCGTTTTAAGTAGAAGCGGGAGGAGCAAACGGAATCTAGTGGTATAGTACCTCCTTGTGTTCTTCCAGGAACTTATTGAGGCTGTTGATGGTGGCGATCTGCTCGGTGGAATCGAAGACGCGGAAGTAGAAAATGTGCGAAAGGAGAGACTCGACGCTTTGATCTGGCGTCACAAGAGCACTTCGTTGAGCCATTTGGAGCACTCTCTCCATCATAAAGCTGCCTTCCGTGTCTGCTCGAGCAAAAAAAAGGATTAGTGTTTTAGAACATACGAAGCTTTCTCTCATTCTTATCACTCGTAAAAAAGAAGAGACAAAACTTCCACACAGTAGCAAAGTTGTTTCCAAGAGATAAGAATTTCCATACGTACCAATGTAGACAGCGTGACCATTGAGACCACCTAGAGATCGAGGGAGTTGGACGTTTATAGCAAGCTGCATCCTGTGAGAAAGAAAAAAAATAGAGACTTTAGAAGTGATCTCGCTGTGATCTAGAATGAAAAGCGTGGGTCCATACCCGAGCTGCGTTTTTCCAATCCCCGGAGCACCACCTGGAGAAGAAGGATCGTGATTTTCTCGTCTCTATACACTCTTCTCCTTACAAATTTCCGTCAGCTCCTTGGAGGCGACTCCACCGCCGAAAACTCGATCCAAACCACTGCAGCCAGTTCCAATCCGGCTCCGGGATCGATCAAACGACATCAAATCCCAAGCAGTCTTTGCTCCTGAGTGGAAAAAGAGGGAGAGAAAAAAAAGAACGAGAGACTCATTCCAGGGACTCCAATCGAATTCTCTTACCAGCAATAGGCGCTGGAGTAGCTCCGATTCGCCGCAGAACAGAGAGCGCCTCATCGGAAGAGATCGATGCGTCTGGAAATGTACATTCTCAAGCATGGCTGCATTTTCTCACAAGAAACACACCTCGTGCGAGATCCAGAGGCGATGCGCCGTGGAGATCCGCGATGGAAGAATAGCCGCAAGCGAGGAGCTTGGATCGGAGATATGGCGGTAGGCCGAGCCGCGCAATGCTGCCACCGTCGTCCATACTTCTTTAGGGCAAAAGAAGCAAATGCCCTAAAAACAGTATGAGGGAGATGGAGCTCATGGGCGCCAAGGCCACCGAGGAAGAATCCAGAGTGGAGATGATCGATAGTGGCGGCGGCCAAGATCACAAGGCCAGCGATCCCGCGAATGGCGTCGCCGAGGGGAAATCCGTGGAAGAAGAGGATGATAGAGGCAGCAGCAGGGCAGACGAAGCGCCTCTCCTCCAATCCGCGGCGAATGGATCGGCGGAGGCGGCTGCGGCGCCGCCAGAATCGGCAGGGGCAGCGGCGGCGAGCAAGATCGAGAGCTTGGAGGAGATGGAGTCGAAATATGCGGCCTATGTGAGGGACGACTGCTATGGCGCCCTCGGCCGCGGCGCATTGCCCTGGGGCGAGAGGGCGAAGCTGGCTGCCGCGCTCCTTACCATCGTTCCTCTCCGATTCGTGCTGCTCTTCCTGGTCTTGCTCATCTACTACGCAATCTGCCGGATTTTCACGCTGTTTAGATCGCCATCGGACGAGGAGGGTCAGGAGAACTACGAGTATCTGCGGGGCTTCCGGCGCTGGATCATCGCGTCCTCGGGGAGGTTCTTCGCGCGGGTGATGCTCTTCGTGCTGGGATTCTACTGGATCAAGGTGAAAGAATCGCCGTCCTCGGCAGCGTCCTTGCAGCAAGGGGCAGCGCAAGTTGGTCCGGATGGATACGAGCACATAGCTGTAAGATCTAAGTTTATGGTAATTCTTTCTTTGATGATCCAAGTTCTCTTGCCAGGCGGAAGATACACCAGGAGCGATCGTTTCAAATCATGTATCCTATTTGGACATCCTCTACCACATGTCTGCTTCGTTCCCGAGCTTCGTTGCTAAGGTGAATTCTTCTTTCGTAGCAAAAGAAATCATCTATAGTAGTACTTTGCCTGGTTAACGCAATTTTTCTTCCATCCGGCTCGAAGAAATCAGTGGCCAAGTTACCTCTGGTCGGCTTGATAAGGTAGAGCGATCTTTCTTCACACAAACGTGATGTCCTTTTGTCTAACTGGCATTGTTTGGCTGCGCAGCAAGTGTTTGGGATGCGTTTACGTCCAGAGAGAATCAAAGACATCGGATACCAAAGGAGTCTCTGGTGAGTGAAGCAAAGAAGATTCGAAGCAAGCTTTTGATTTCCTTTTCTTTCGTTTTCCAGGAATCGTCAGCGAGAGGCTTCGAGCTGCTCACAGCGATCCAGGAGCTCAGATCATGCTTCTCTTTCCAGGTAACACAAGAGTTTTTCTCGCTACCACTATAGCACAGCAAATTTGACTTTGCAGAAGGGACAACCACTAATGGACAGCATCTCCTTCCGTTCAAGACGGGTGCGTTTCTAAGCCAGACGCCAGTCTTGCCCGTTGTGCTCAGATACCCGTACACTCGTTTCAGTCCGGCCTGGGAATCCATATCCGGGGTAAGCTGTTCCTTTCGATTCTCCTTTCTGACTTTTTTCACCTTTTTCCAGGTACGCCACATTCTCTTGTTACTATGCCAGCCAATCAACTTCCTCGAGGTTACGAGATTGCCAGTTTACAGTCCATCAGACAAAGAGAAGGCAGATCCAAAGCTCTACGCAAGCAATGTACGAACTTTGATGGCAACTGCAGAGGTCAAGCTTGTGAAATCATGGGTTTGTCATGTTTGCTTGACAAGTATTTTCATGTTCGTTGCGGCAGAAGCTTACAATCTCAGACATTGGACTGCAAGAAAAGCGGATCTATCTCAACGCGATCCGGAGCAAAACGACTGCTTGAAGAGAGAAAGAGAGAGGGGAGAGCATTTACAATGGAGCAAATTTTGAGCGGCCCGTGCACATTGTCACATGCTACCACGCAGACAAAACTTTGGTCGCCTCCACCGGCTAGGTACTCACTGGAACATTTTAGAGTAGGCCTTGCGTTCCTGATCCCGTCTCGCTAGTATCTGTAATACCACTAGGTAATCGATCCAGCAACAACGTTTCGTTACCTTGTTCTTAGCTGTTGTGAGCTCTTTCCGGATACCAGCTGCTCAGTCAAACAACGATTGGCTTCTAGAAGTGGAAGAAGAACGAGCAAAGATCGAACTTACCATCGTTGGGCTGGATCTCTTGAGCTTTGCTCAGGCTTGCCACTGCTGCTTCCAGGTCGTTTAAAGCCAGGTATGCCTACAGAGAATAGGAAGAGCTTAGAAAAAGCAGAAAAATACAGTGACAATCACCTGGCCTTGTCGAAACAGTGCCTTCACATTGGGTTCTCCATTGTTCATGGCGTACTCCGTGTCTACCAGAGCACCCCGAGCATCGCCAACTCTAAGTTTGCAGGCCTGAAGCACCAAAAGAGTGAGGCCAAGCAGGAAGATAAGAGAAAGATAGAGACTTACAGCGCTGTTGGTGAGAACCAAGGACTTAATCCTCCGCAGATTGTTACTCTTCTCTGCCAAAAACAAAGCAAAAGAACGCTTTTTCGAAACCAACGAAACAAGAGCGAGACAAACCTTCGTCTATCTCTTCCTTTTCCCAGCACACGTCCAAATATCTCAAGGCTTTTCTGTACTTGCGAAGCGCCATCTTGTAGTCGCCACGCTACGGAGAAAAACATAACGTTCCAAAGCTCTATAGAATGCAAACGAACAAAAGGAAAGAAACGAATCACACCTTGAAGCAATCGTTTCCCAGGCTCTTGACGGTCTCCACGGCCGACACCCACCAGGCCGACTCCTCTGGCTGCTCGGGCAAGTCCGCTGGCCAGTCCGGGAATATATCACCGTCCTTCCAGAAGAGCGACACTCCATCATCGGCTCCCTCCGGAAGCTCTCCACACTCGGTCACCACCAGGGGATTCACGGGCCGGTCCTTGTCGTCCGTTATAGCGTGCTCCATGCTGCGAATCACGCCCATTCCCTTGAGAACTTTGCCAAACACGACGTGCTTGCCGTCGAGATGTGAGGCTCGAGCGGTGGTGATGAAGAACTGGGAGCCGTTGGTGTTGGGCCCCGAGTTGGCCATGGACAGCAGCCCCTTGCGCTCGTGCTTCACTTTGAAGTTCTCGTCGTCGAACTTGAGGCCGTAGATGGATTCGCCGCCGGTGCCGTCGCCAGCGGTGAAGTCGCCGCCTTGGATCATGAAGCCTTTGATGACGCGGTGAAAAGACACGCCCTGTTTGCAAAAGAGACGAAGAAGTCAGTGAGATGCTGGAAGAAAAGGAGATGACTTTTCTAGATGATCTCACACAGGCATGAAGAAAAACTTCACACAGAGATAAAATTCTCGCAATGAAAATGCAGAGAAGTCAGTGAAAAAGTGAAGAAACGGAAGGATTTTTCATCGAGAAGAAACAGAGATCATCTAAGAAGAAAAACTCCGAATGAGAGTTGGAGGAAAACATATAAAACTCTCGCAGTGAAAAATGCAAATGCAATAAAGGAAATATAGAGAGACAACAAATACCTTGTAATGGAGCGGATATCCGGAAGAACCGACGCCTTTCTCGCCAGTGCACAGCGCCCGGAAATTCTCGGCGGTGCGCGGAACAATATCCGCGAAGAGCTCCACGACGATCCGGCCCTCGAGCTCGCCTCCAATGCTGATGTCCATGTAGCACCGAGGATTCGGCGCCATTGCTCGTTGGAACCCTAAACCCTACGAGGAAGAAAGAGAGAATCAATAGATTCGCGTGTCGGCGCGTACTGGGGATGGGATTTGAACCTTCGACCTCGGACCCACAAAGCATCTGCCGTCCGGTGGCAAATATTATTCCGAATCTTACACGTGGCACGTTTGTATTCGTGAAAGCGCTAGCTTGGCTGGCCAGGGGTCCATTTTCCCACCTGCAATGCAGTAGATGGTAAGTCACACAATGCGAGGAGCGAAGAAGGGCGCTCTAGAAAAATTCTAGTCCAGGGCTTGGGAGAGCTAGGGTTCTAGCGATCGGGCAGGGGATGAATCGAGGTATGGCGGCCTCCTCCTGCATTGCGCTCCTGGGGGTGCTAGTGGTGCTGGGATTCGCGGGATTGGCCGCGGCCAAGGGGGGGGACAATGTAGCGCTCGCCGCCAAGCCCAAGAACAAGACGGTGGCCGAGATCTTCACCAGCGATCTCTTCGATTTGATGTTCAATCACAGGAATGAGCCGCAGACGCACGCGCAGGGATTCTATGACCACTACTCGTTCATCACGGCCGCCAAAACCATGGAGAAAGAGGGGTTTGGGGTCACTGGCGGCGAGACGGTCCAGAAGAGGGAGATTGCGGCATTTCTAGCTCATGTGGCCCATGAGACGACTTGTAAGTTCTTAGATCTGCTAGAGCTCCAGGGAAGAACAAGCGCTTTCTTAGATCTCTCTTAGAGAAGAGTTTTAAATTTCTCTCGTGGCTAATGCTTTGCTTTGCGAAAATTTCAGGTGGCTATTCGGCAGCTAAAGGGGGACCTTACGCGTGGGGGCTTTGCTACAAGGAAGAACTTAGTCCACCAAAGATCTACTGCGAGGATAGTTTCCTCTATCCTTGCTCCAAAGGTGTCAGCTACCATGGACGAGGAGCTCTCCCACTCTACTGGTAAGTTCTTCGATCCAAAACCGGGATTTTCCTTATTCCTTGTGTTTTGCCAGGAACTACAACTATGGACCCGCTGCAAAGTACCTCAAGCTCGACCTCATGAATCACCCAGAGATGGTTAGCGAGAACGCGACAGTGGCGTTCCAGGCGGCGATCTTCAAGTGGATCACTCCCGTCAAGCCCAAGCAGCCATCTCCACACGAGGTGATGGTCAACAAGTGGAAGCCATCCAGGAACGACACTCTGTCGTTCAGGAGCCCCGGATTTGGAATGACGATCAACATCATGGCTGGAGACGACGAGTGTGGCCACGGCAGCGATCCAAAGATGGAGGACCGGATCGCCCACTACAACTATTTCCTCAACATCATCGACAAGGACGTGGATCCGGGCCTCAACCTCGACTGTGGATCGCAGGGAGTTCTCAATCCTCCCAACCCGGTCCAGTGAGCACACACACACAGGTGGATTGCGGTACGCTCGATCGGAAGTTCCTCTCGATCGAAAAACCAAGCTTTAGTAGTACTGGGAGGAATGAATAACGAGAGAAGACTCTCGCTACCATGCTACTGCTGCGACGAGAATTTTATAAGATAGCTCTACAGGAGGAACAGGCAAGCAGGTTTGTAGAGGTATGTGGTTGTACTGCTTGCTACACCGGATTGAATTCTTTGTCAAATCATGTGTGTATTAAAGGTATAGGATTTTAAAAAGCGTCAAATAAAGTTGGACCACCATTTTCACTAAATTATCAACTTTTTACGTATAAATTATCACTTTGTCATCTTTAAACTCTTATCAGACAACATCCAATAAACCAGATACCAGGCAGAATAGAGCACACTGGGACTCAGTTTGATTTTTCTTTACAAGGTTTCCCTTACTTTTTTGGCACTAAGTGGTTAGTAGCGACAGCACTCTCCACTCTCAACAGGGTACAAAGACAACTGGTACTCCAGCCGCCATTTTCGCCCCTCATGTCAACCGAAAATTATTAACATATATATCATTTTTATTTTACTCAGCCCTCTTTCAGTGAAACTACACTCTGGTGAAAACAACCCAACAGAGGTTTAGTTACCCTAGTGACTTGCATTTTCACTAGCATTTGGCTAGTTATTTACCCCACAAACTTATCCAAAGATTTCGGATAACTGGATGTCCACATCTTACATAGATACAAATTTTATTGAAATATGGAGTCCATCCACATTTAGGAGTAGTGCAAAAGAATTTAGGGTTTATGGATTCTCATGTCGCAGCGGCAGGATTCACGCGCAGGTACAGGAAGCTCTCGTTGCAGGATCGAGTGGAGACGCTTCTTGCCGATTCGAGCGAGGCCAAGCCGCAGGTCGATGAGATCTGGAAGAGTGTGCTTGGCGCTGCAACAACAGATCAGGAAGCGAATCCGGATGACGAGGAGCTGAGCTTTTGGGTGGTTTACGCAGAGGCTTGGGAGGATGTTGCTGCAGCGCTTCTTCCGTTGATATGCATGAGGTGTATAAGATTCCTGAGGGCGTTGAGGCGAGCAGGAGGCTGCTGAAGCAGCTGCAGATGGAGGAAGGGCGGTTGAACGAGCTGAAGATGAGGTTCATTCCCGAGCTGAGGAGCTTCAAAGGAGGCCCCTCGGCGGTGCAGTGGGCGAGGTTCAAGAGTGCGACTGTGCTCTTCTGTGAGGATCCAGAGATGGAGCACCTTCAACAGGGGGGTGCCCTGTACAAGCAGGCTGCACTTTACAGGAAATTCTTGCAGCTGCGACTAGAGCGAACAAACAACAACGCTTGATCAATCAACCCTTTGAGCTTCAAACGCGCGGTTCATACTACAGTTTTCAATGCATTTAGTGGCCTAGCTGCTTTTTTTAATCCGTTTGGGAATATCCCTTGACAAAACGTTAAACAGTAGGTAAACGGTTTAACCACTGATTAAAAAAAGGCATATGCGGTTCAGATTTGGCATGGCCAGCCTTGAATATGACAAACAAAAATACTTCTTGGAAGGGATAACCAACCGAGGTTAGCGATTATCGAGGATAATCTCGAGTGGCAATCTGCACAAGATAAACCCTAAACATTTATAGTTTTCATAGGAAATTAGGGATTTCAAGAAGGATTATCCTCGAAATTGCTAACGGAAATGGTTAACCGCCTTATCTATTGGGAGTGGCAGAGCGATCAACCCTTCTTTTGCGCGGCGTTGAGGCAAAGATCCGATGGCGGAGGCGGAGATGGCACTGCGGCGATGGCGATCAAAGCTTCTTCTGGGCGGTGTTGGGTGGTGGAGGCAAAGATCCAATGGTGGAGGCAAAGATCCGATGGTGGAGGCGGAGATGGCATTGAGCGGCGATGGCGATCTGCAGCACCCGATTGTCCCCTGCTATGGCGGAGGAAGAGGCGCCCTAAGGCCGGCACCTTGGCGACGGCCGATCAAAGCCGTCAGCTCTCGTTCATAAACCATGTGTAAAATTATGCATCCCATAAACTAACTATCAGTGTATAATTACATGATTTGAAACAACTGACACGACCAACAGTGGGATAGGCAATCCTGTTGAAGTTCAACATTAACTCAGCCACATGGCTCAATGGGTGCATGCCATGTGGCATCATCAGACTTTATTTCACAATTCGTTCAATTCACAAAAGCTCAATTTCCGTTTTTCTCTCAACAGGTTATGGGCCTTGCACGCGAGTATGCCCTAAATCCCTTCATTTCTGGAAGTTCAGATTTCACAGGCTCCAGTTTATTTAAGAAATGGGGGAGTGGCTATGTTAAGATCCACGCGTACGGTAAACGAGGTTCAGAAGTTTCGACTGTTTAATAACAGGTCAGGAAAACGTCGGCCCAGCTAGTACACAGATCTTCTTTCCCGAAGCAATGCATTCCTGAAGCTATATTTTTAAACAGGTGCAGCTGTGACGTATGGCCATATACATGTGATATGTTTGACAAGTATGATTACGAAGAGTTGTTGAGTTTATGGACAGGCACCTCAGGTTTGGGAAGTTGAAGGCTGGTGAAGATGGTCGTGATTCCATTTATCCGGATCGGATCAGGTGAGCATCTCACATTTTGTTTAGCATGTGGTTTGAAGTGTTGTAGTTGCAAATGATTGACGAAATTAAATCACGAATCTATATATATTAACTGGATGTCGACCGACGATTGGAGAGGACTATATTGCATGAAGAAGACGAGATGATAACGCATTGCCGACATATATGAGCTAGCTACCAAATTGCTTTTCTGAAACCAAGAAAGTTTCCCAAAAACAGGTCAACTTTCAAATTATAAGATATTAACATAGTTTTACAGAAAACAAAATTGAATCTAAAATTTAATTTCTATTTTAATAACATCCATTAACGCACAATATACTTTGTTCATGGCGAATGTTACCGTGCTCTGGTCATTGTCGGGGATTTTGTCGCTACAGCAGACTAGACAGAACACAATTTGATAGCAGCAATAAAAACCTTTCCAGTAGGCTGCAAAATGCATGCTAAGATCAGCCATGTAACTCAACACAAATGTGGGTGTTTGAAGCTCACCTGTTGTTACCAGAGCCTGAAACGCAACCAAGCAACCATCAAGAAGAAATCCTTCAGGTGTACATTGCCGTTACTTTGAAGTTCCTGCGGAACCGATGAAAACTTAATAGTACCAGTGTCAAACTTTGTGAGAATGAAAACAACCTGATAAAAAACATTTGTGAGGATGGCGAAATAGTTACTCTCGGCAATGGATAGGTTTTGGCTGTTCAAAGCTTTGTCCAGTAACTGCCCGCAAATGAAGGCTCCTGGCTGCCTGATGTTTTGATCCGGTATAAAACTACAAAAACGAGGAAGAGGTTTTGATATACATAAGTTGGTAATATAACTTCAAAATCACATACCCGCATGCTGTAATGCAGACTTCCGAGATGCACCATTCTGACAAAGCCGAGAGAATTCCCCATTTCACATATTAGAGATGGAAAAATTGAATCCGTCGTCGCTAAGCCTGCCCAGTTTTCTGATGTGTTAATTCAGCCGCCACGGGGTAGCCACAATCAGATCTCTTCTTGTTTCTCTGTTTCCTATAGAAGCATCATCAATCCAAAGAAAGAGCTGTTTTCACTTGTGCAAAAGGAGCAAAGATTTAAACTGCCCAAAGACCCCAATAATCAAATCTAGCCGCAGTTTCTCAGATCCAGGTTCAAATTTCAAATTTAACTGTTTGATTTGTAAAAATTCACAAACCGCTGCATAATCGGGCTCCCGGAGCACCTTAGTACTACTGATATTGCAATTCTTAATATTTGTAAAGAAAGAAATTGATGGACAAGAGAGTGCAGGATTTAAGTGATAACAAACACAAATATAATTTCTTATTATGCAACTTATTTGTGACTCTGGTTATCCAACCCTGTCACGTGAAGTGCTACACGCAGTTTGAGTAGTATTCAGGTACAGGGGCCAACGACACGACTCGTTCCACCTCGTATTGGTTCCCCTGCGGCAAAAAACTTGGTTTGAGAAGTATTACTCACGGTGACGCTTATTGTCTCAAATGACCAGATGCCTGCATTAGCAATGCTAATGCGGGCGAGAGTAAGCTTAGCAGCACATATGACATGACATTCACGCCCTGTGAATGTGAAGGTATTGACTTGGTTACTCTCAAAGTCATCCCCTGGACCATCGAGATCAGAGAAATCCAAGACAGATTCATCTGAAGAAAACAAGCGGAGATCCACCCTTTCATCCGTGCCTGTAGTTCCTGTTCTGATCTTGATGGTATAGGTGCAAGTCTGTAAAAACAGTTTAAAATGAAACTTATGACATTTTGAAGAATTCTTACACTCTGAGAAAGAGTGTGTTGGACTCCTCCGAACAAGATCATCACCACGGCCATCACCACACTAAAAGAAACCATCTTTGCCATTGTAGTTTCAGACACTCATTAATGACTTTTAAATACCAGGCTAAAAAAATCGTATCTTGAAAATTAATCTTTCAAGTTTGGTAATTGGTGGATCACATTTTTCAACTTGAAAACCGTGGCAATGTTGAAACTCTTACACCAATAAACCAAACCACAAATAATTGCTCTAAAAAGACTACGAATTAAGTACATAAATACGAAGAGATTTAAAATGTGAAGTCCAAGTCAAATTGAATAAAGTATTCGATTGTGTAGTTGGTTTTCACCCATGTGATGACAGACATCAGTCTAGCACACCCATGAAGCCATAGAAGCATCATCAATTATCTACAGTGCCAAAGAAAGAGTTGTTTTCAGTTGTGCAAAATGAGTTGAAGATTTAAACTGTGCCTTCGATCTCCATTAAGATACTTGTTAGCCTCTTCATGGCCTGAAAACAAAACGGTTAGTGAATTTCACAGATTTGTTCACAAACCGTTTGCATATTCTGAGCTTCTTCTTTGGAAAGCGAAGCCAGCTTCTGACTCCAAACTTGCAAACCGTTCATCCCGCTTCCAATGCTGTCCATATCCAACCCATTCTGAAGACGAGTTCGCTCGGCCAGAAAATGAACTCTCGCAGATTGAAACCAATGCAACGAATTGAACTGTTTGTCCTGATCAAGCACCTGCTTAACACAAGCAGCAAGTCATAAGTGAGTCTTACAATCAACAACGTTATGAACCTTGAGAATGTAGGCGATTCCAAGAGCAAAACCGTCGTCTGTAGACATGGCGTTAACAGCATCTCGCCCGCGCTTATGAAGCTTTTCTTTCGACTGATGCATTGCGTCTGCTGCATTTATCGTCAAAGCAGGAACCATCAAGAAGAAATCCTTCAGGTGTACATAGCCGTTACTCTGAAGTTCCTGCGGAGCCGATGAAAACTTAATAGTACCATTGTCAAACTTTGTGAGAATGAAAACAACCTGATAAAAAACATTTGTGAGGATGGCGAAATAGCTACTCTCGTCAACGGATAGCTTTTGGCTGTTCAAAGCGTTTTCTAGTAGCTGCCCGGCCTGAACTGCTAAAGAAGGCAAATGAAGGCTCCTGGCTGCCTCCTCAAAATTCTGTTTGATGTTTTGATCCGGTATAGAACTACAAAAACCCGGAAGAGGTTTTGATATACATAAGTTGGTTTTATAACTTCAAAATCACATACCCGCATGCTGTAGTGCAGTAATGCAGACCTCCGAGACGCACCATTCTAACAAAGCCGAGAGAATTCCCCATTTCAGATATTAGAGAGCGAAATTGATCAAGAAAACTCAGTTTTTTTATGTCTTTATTCAGCTTCTCAGCTCTCGCCATGGGGTAGCCATAGTCAGGTCTCATCTTGTGTTCCTATTAAAACCATTAGTCAAGAAAAAAAAACGTCAAAATGTTCCTTTACCAAACGAGATTTGATGTGATCATCAAACAGAAACTGATAAAAGACAACAAATTTCTGAGCCAGATATTGATATGCGAAATTGACTGTGGCATTCATTATTCCCGTGCCGTGTGTACGTATCGAGTTTGCAACATGTTTCACGTTGACGGTTCAAGTGCTTCCGACTCCGAGCATTTGAAGGTTTTTCCACAAAGATCTACACATATGATCAACAGAAACAGTCACAGTGAATGTTGTATAATGCACCTGAGTGTTGAGGTTGTAAGTGTAGCAAGCTACAAAGATGTGAATGTTACGCATAATCTCCAGAATATCCACCCCTTGTTCTAAAGTCTGTCCAGGAAGATGTATGGCATCTAGATGAAGTCCGTATTTCTGTTCCACAAGATTTTTCATTTGATTGTAAGTCTGGAATCGAAAACAAACGCCACAGTGTAAATTTTCCAAGAAATTGCAAACGAAGAAGACGCCTGAAGTAATTGATTTGACTCAGCCATTCAGGCGCACTAAAAATCTCTCTGACTGTGAGGGTGGATATTACAACAGTAGATTTCACTCATACCACGTGTCTGGCTGCTATTAGTCCACATGTAATATGAGTGTGAAAAAAACAGAAGTATAAAATATTTTATGAATATCCAATCCTTATGCCCCAGATGGGGCATCATGCCCATAGCAATAATCGATGCTATGTGCTATTCATGGGCCATAAACCCATTCATCCCATGCATTCAAGCAAGTTGTTAATGTTGAAAACCAAATGGACAATCAACCAAATTGCATACCGCTCCGCCCTCCATTTTCACTAAATTATCAACTTTATACGTAAAAATGGTCTTTAATGGTGTAAACTAAAAGAAGCAGAGCCGTTGGATGTGAACATACAAAAAATAGATCAATGGTCGTGTTTTTGAGCTGGAATTTTGCTTAGAGCCCAGATGAGCAGCACGCCAACCATTGCTCCAGCGCAGTGTGCTACGTGATTCACACTCGACGCAGCTTGCAGCATTTGAGTCTCTTCCACCACCTTTTTCCCAGGAACTCGAATTCTCTTGTCAGCGCAAATGGAGTTATGTTCTTACCTTGTTCACAACAAATTGTCCCAACACCAACACCTCGAGCAGCTTTCTCCAATCCCAGCTCAGCTATGGAAAGAGTGAAAGATAAAAAATCTTGAAACAATTGTCCCGGAGAGAAAACCAACCTTGACAAGAACGCTGATCGCGAACAATCCAAACACCGCTCCAGAGGCTCCGATCGACACAACGTTTCCAGGGAGGAGCAGCCAGGAGAGAAGATTTGCTCCAACCCCGGTCACAATGTAAGACGCCCACAGCCCAAATCCCCCCTCTTCTTCCTCCACGAGCTTGCCAAACATGTAGAGGAAGAAGAGATTGCTGGAAATGTGGCCCCAGTTTCCATGGCAGAAGGTCGCGGTGATGAATTGGTACCAGCGCGGGGAATTGTGATAGAGGTAGAGCAGCTTCATACCTGGTACCTAGATCCATCAAGAGCAATGCCATGGAAATCCCGGAATCGCGAGCGCGCAACTCACCTCCAGCCAGTGATCCAGCGCGTAGACGCCGAGATTTGCGAGGAGGAGGAGGTAGAGAGCATTCCCTGGCTTCCTGCGCTTCTCCCCCTTCTCCTCGAGCTCCAGATTGGAATATTTCGACGCCCGGGCACGCAAGGAGGAGCGATCGCCGCGAAGCGCCATCCCGCGATTCAGTAGCAGCAGCCTACTCGATCGAGGAGCGATCGACAACGCCTGCGCCGGCGCTCTGAGGGCTAGAATCGTCATCGCCATCGTCATCCGCGCGCCTAGGGCATCTCGCCAGAATTTAGGGTTTATGAGCTCTTCCTCAAGAACAGGGATGGCGGCGTCGAGGCGCCCGCCCGTGGACGAGCTCCGATCCACGGGCTTCAAGCACAATGCGAGGATGGGCATGGCGCTGGCACCGTGCGCCGCTCTGATGCTCGGGATGGGCGGCAAGCCGGTGTCGGCCACGCTCACGGTAGGACTCATGATCTCCTACATTCTAGATTCTCTCCTCCTCAAGCGCGCGGCCTTCTTCGGGGTCTGGGGATCGCTGTTCGCGGCCGGGATCGCGTTTTTCGTCACAGGGATCAACCTCTCCAGCTCCAGCTGGGCTCTCCAGGGATTGGGACTGCTCGTGCTCATGGAGCTCATCTTTCTCATTGGCGTCTGGGCATCGCTCCAATTCCGCTGGCTGCAGCTCGAGAATCCCTCGGTGGTGATCGCGCTGGAGAGATTGCTCTTCGCGACCACGCCGATCGTCGCCGGCGCTTGCCAGACGTGGGGAATTGTGGCGGCGGCGGGGGTGGAGCACGCCGCGTTCTATCTCATGGCCGTCCAGTTCGTCCTCTACTGGCTCTTCTCGCTGCCTAGGACGTCCTCGTTTAAGTCCAAACCCGAGAAGAGCTATGGCGGACAGATCCCCGAAGGGTCCCTACTCATCGGGCCTCTGGAAGGATGTCTCCACACTTTGATGCTACTGTTTCTCCCACTGGCGCTCCATCTCGGGATCCACCACCGGCGGCTTGGATCCGCCAACGCCATCGCCGAGCTCGTCCTCCTCTTCTTCGTGCCTTTGCTCTTCCAGCTCTACGCATCCACGAAAGGAGCTCTGTGGTGGCTGGCCAAAGATCACAGGCAACTCGACCACTTTCGCCTCGTCAATGGCGCGATCGCTCTGGTGGCGGTGATCCTCAGCCTCGAGGTCCGGGTGGTGTTCTTCGCGTTCCACCAGTACATCCAGATCCCGCCACCTTTCAACTATCTGCTCGTCACGCTCGGCCTCTTGGGAGGAGCTGCCGCTGTTGGATTGTTCCTCCTCGGCCGCGTTGGAAACACTCCTCTCACCGCTCTCCTCCTCGTCGCCGCGCTCTCGTCCTCGCTCGTCCTTGGCATGCCACTCAAGGTTCGTGCTTCTAGAGCTCCAGCTCTCGGGAAAATCGTTTCTTGGGTGCTCAAAGATTTTTGCTGCAGTTTCTCCCAGCTCCGATCATCTCCGCCGCGTTCCTGGGCCACTACCTCGCGTCCAGAAACCTTGGATCGTATTTTCTCTTCGCGGTTTCGGCAAGCGTTTCAGTCACCTGGTTTGTGTTCCACAACTACTGGTCACTGAGCATCTGGGTTGGAGGAAGCGAAATCAAGTCGATTTGCAAGCTTCTCATTGCCAGCGCGAGCATTGCCTTGGGAGTTCCAGGGCTGAGCACTCTTCCCGGCAAGGCTCGCTACCTCACCGACATTTCTTTGATCGGGCATGCCGCACTGGTTTGCAACCTCGAGAACAAGCTCTACAACTATCCCGGGATCTACTATGGCTACACGGACGACGTTATTTATCCAAGCTATGCGGTGGTGCTCTCCACCACCTTTGGATTGCTAGTCACTCGAAGATTGGCTGCTAACAATTTTGTCACATCTCTCGGAGCTTGGGTGATCTATTGCCTCTACGCTTCCAAGCTTGGGATGCTGCTGTTATCTTCCAGAACTGTGCTGTGGTCCTCGGTGGTGTTGCTTCTGGCCGTCTCGCCACCCGTTCTTCTCTACAAGTAAGTTTGTTCTTTCGAGGGAGAAGTTTGTTCGTTGGAGGTAGAAAGCTAAAGTTTTCGCTCTTTCCTTCACAGACAAAAAGGAAAAACTGGAAGTCGGATGAAACCATGGCAAGGATTCGCTCACGCAGTCGTTATTCTCGCGGCTGTATTCTGGTGCCAGTCGACAATCATCGAGGCTCTCGAGTGGTCTTTCGGTCGACGTCCCTCGGACAGTGTTATTCTCGGTTCCATGATACTCTTGGCGGGTTTTGCCAGCGCCCCGATCGTAGTCCAGCATTTCAACCACTTGCAGGTACTTTTCAAAACTCTGTTTTCACAGCTTCTCTTCTCTAAGAATCACATTTTTACGCTGCAGGCAGCGAGAAGATCACTCGTCCTGGTCCTGGCAACCGGCCTGCTGTTCATGCTCTTGCAGCCGCCTCTCCCGTGGTCCTTCTCGAGGCGAACGTTTTACGTGAGGGAGATCGACTATTCCGACGACGAGGCGATCTATGGCGGAATAGCAGCAGTGCCGACTTGGTCGACATGGCTCCTCCTCGCGACGGCGATCACGACCCTGGCGGCGCTGTCCTCGGCTCTCCCGGTCCAGCACTTCGTCACACTTCGCTTCTTCTACGCGATCGGCGTGGGTGCCAACCTGGGGATCTACATCGCGGCGCGCTACTTCCCTGAGCTCGTGATCATCGGCGTCCTCCTGCTGGTGGCGATGGTGTCGGCCTCGCTCTTCCTCGTCTTCGTGCTGCTACCATCGGCCTCCAGCCCCCGCTTCGTGCCGTGGCTGTTTGGACTCCTCGTCTCGCTGCTTCCGGTCATGTATCTCCTCGAAGGCCAGCTCCGGGGGGGATGGGATCAAACAGGTGGCGATGGCGACGAGAAGCTCGTCTCGATACTGGCTCTCCGAGGAGCACGCAGCTCGCTGCTGGGTCTCTACGCCGCAATCTTCATGCTCATCGCGCTGGTGATCAAGCTCCAGCTCGCTTCGATCCTCCGAGAAAAGGGAGGAGTCCACACCGGAGGAGGAGGAGGAGCTGGATTCGTGCCAAAGCACCGGCTTTTACAGCAGCAGCGAGCTTCTCACATGAGCCCTCTCACTGTGAAGAAGCTCTCGGCGGAGGGGGCGTGGATGCCAGCCGTGGGGAACATCGCCACCATCGGGAGCTTCCTCCTGTGCATCGTCCTCAACCGGCACCTCACCGGCGGATCCGATCGAGCGGTGCTGTTCCTGGCGCCGATCCTCCTGCTGCTCAACCAGGACACCAATCTGGTCACCGGATTCGGCGATCGGCAGCGCTACCTCCCGCTGTGCGCCGCGGTGTCGATCTACCTCGCCATCTCCTCGGCGATCAAGGTGTGGGGCGAGGTGTGGCACGGGCACGAGAGCTCGTCGTGGGGGATGGAGATGGGCGGGGCGGGGGTGATCTACGCGGCCAAGAACACGGTGCTGCTGGCGATGGTGATCCCCAGCCACGCGGTGTTCAATCTCTTCCTGTGGAACCAGGCGCGGGCGTCGGACATGGCGCTGCTGGTGACGAGTCCGCTCAACGCGCCCGCTATCGTGGCGGCTGACGTGGGCAGCATCCGGGGGCTGGCGCTGCTGGGCGTGATCTACGCGCTCCTCCAGTTCATGATCTCGCGCCGGATTAGGATCGCTGGAATGAAGTACATTTGAATTGATGGATTGCGGCAAAGAGAAAGAGCGCTAGGGTTTGGTGGTGGCTGGCTGGCTCGATCGATCGAGAAGATCTGGGAGAATACGCGCATTTGATCGATTGCTCAGATAGAATGGTAATCGCGGCAAGAACAGAGAAGAGAAAATGGGGGGAAAAGTTGGTCCGTTCGAGCAGAGCTATCTCGCTAGGGTTTGGTGGAGGAATGCCGGTGTTGGTGTAGCGTAGATCGAGCGCAGCTCCTAGCCTAGGGTTTCGATCGATCGCATCGATCGATTGCTACACAGGATGGGGCAGCCAGCGGCGGGCGCGGCGGCGGCAATGCAGCGCTCTAAGAGCGGCAGGAGAATGGGGCTCCGGAGCCTCGTCCGGGCGTGCTGGAGCCCGCCCATGTCCGATTGCGAGTGCTACGGCGATCGCCAAGAGGTAGTGGTGGAGTACTCGGCAATGCTCTTGCCGCCGCCTCGCATTCCTTCTCCTTCTTCCTCCCTCCAGAGCTTGCTCATGGCGTCCCTCCCGGACGATCTCCTGGTGGAATGCCTGGCTAGGGTACCGCGCGGCTCCATCCGGCAGTGCGCCATGGTGTGCCGCCACTGGCGCACGATCGTCCAGTCCGACCTCTACTACCGCGCGCGCGGGAAGCTCCGGATGCTCGAGAGCTTCGTGGTGGTGTTTGGCGGTATTGGCTCGGGGCTCTCCTCCGCCACGTACTCCCAGTCCACGGGCCAGTGGCAGGCCGGCCTCCTCTTCCCCGACAACCACGACCACGACCACGACACGTCATCCTCCGACCACACCTTCATCCACGCGCAGTCGGCGGTACTCCAGCATCGCATCCTCGTGCTGGGCGCCACGCTGGCGGGCGACTGCACCATGGTCTATGACACGTGGCGGCGGACGGTCGCCCGCGCGGCCCCCATGCTCCTGCCACGGAAGAAGTTCGCCTGCTGCGTCATTGGGGACCGGGTCTACGTGGCCGGCGGCGCCAGCCGTTGCCGGGCCAGCCGCGACATCGTCATGCACGAGGCCGAGGTGTACGACCCCGAGCTGGACACGTGGCGGCGGCTCCCGGACATGCGGCACCGGCGCTACGGCTGCATCGGCGCCGCCGTGGACGGCATCTTCTACGTCATCGGCGGCATCAGGCGTCCGTACGCCTACCTCAGCTCCATGGACTGCTTTGACCCCCGGGTCAACGCGTGGCTCAAGTCGCGCCCGCTGCCGATCGGGGGCGGCTGCGTGATCTCGTGCACCGTGGTCGGGTCTTGCATCTACATGCTCTCCAGCCACGCCGTGGAGCTCTCCTTCTGGCGGTATGACACACGCGGCCAGGCGTGGAGCCGGATCAATCTGCCGCCCATACCGTCGCCGCTGAGGATCGACAACCTGCTCAAGTTTTCGTGCGTC